CATGCACCAATCCAGGCGTGTATAGAAGTAATCATTCTAATAGACATGAAAATATTTCAAATTTTTATTATAATACAAATATTTTTAAGATACATTTCAGTTGACGTGGTCCAATTTTCTGCTTAACTGTTATCCTAATTGTTTCTCTTATGGATATGGAGTGATTAAGGAAATTGTATTTGTAGGCGGTATAAGACTATCCAGGAATTGACTTTGCTTCGATAAAATATGTCTCAATGATTCCTTTGTATATTGAGTGACACATAAAAAGAATTATTTAAAAAAAACTGCACAAGTCAAATGTCGGAAAACAACTTAAAATTGAATTTTCAAAAAAAAAGAAGAACTCAAAAGAACTGCCAAGAGCATCTTGAACCCACCTGCTGCGTTTGACATTAAGTATTGTAATCGGCTGAAAAATACAAAACATTAAAAACAACGAAGTGATGCAATCCTCATAATCACCTCGAATCTGAGGCTGAATACTTGTCATAACATGAAGCGAAGTTTTAATGCCATTTGGAAGAATTCGATGACTTAGCCTTTCGATCTACATAGCAGAGGCAGAAAAGTCTCACAAATTCAAAAACATATGGAAAATTATTTTTGGGAATTTTTATTGATTGGATTCATAAATTTTGTTGAGAATTGGAATGTATGAATTGGTGCCACTAACTGTACATTTTTGCAGACGTAGAGGAAGTTCATTACTGCTCCTACTAAATGGAAGAGTAGACATATTGAAGAATTATAAACTCTATTCCAACGTCATTACTCTACTAACACAACTGGATGGTGGTATGGTGGGACACAACTGAAGAGTTTTGCATTTACAAGTATGTCTACCATATTCTCTAATATGGTAGTGATGTTATCGTAATAGTATGTTTTTTATTTAAATGATCTAATCGAAAATATCGAGAAGTGTATATATAAACATAATGTTGAGGCTACTCATCCTATATTAACTAAATAAAGGTTTAGAAAAATGGAAATTAATAATACGAAAAGTGTGTTTACGTGGGACTAATAACATATTAATTATGCCGCTCAAGTTTCGAGGGTGTTTAAGCATAACATATAAAATTAGGCATAAAACAATATACAAATTCTGAATCTAGAACTTCTTACTTGGATCGAAATAGCAATCAGCTAAATGCATATAAGTTTATGAAGCACGTCAAAAGTCCAATTTACGCCTGGTCAAGTTGTGACCTTTATAACTTGTGATATGCGTGAAATATATTTTCGCATAATACCTTGCCAAAGGACAAATCAGTAGACTTTTGATATGACTAAAGCTATAATTTTCAGGTCTTTCGTTTTGTTTTGATCTTTCGTTGTCTTTGTTATTTACAAGCATTTGATCGTTCGTTATTTAAAGAGTTCATAATATCGGGCACTCGTTTTCCGTAGACTTTGCTTAAGTTTTTCTTACATTTGTAGGTTGGAAACACGAAAGACGATCTCACAAAACAAAGAAAGATTTCTTTCACTAATACAAGGAATATCATATCACAAGTTGTTAACATAATTGTATGAAATCAGTTCAAATTGCTTCTTTATCTACCATATTAAGTAGATTTGTGTCCATCAACTTTTTCTTGCAGAACAATGACTTTGAATTGATTTCAACTAGAGAATTTGTGAAATGATTTTATTTTTAATGAGGAAATATGTATTAATGAAGCAAAAATATTAATTTTTATTAATTTTAGTTTATTACTAAATGTACTGTTATTAATTTTTATAAAACACTGTTAGTAGTTAGTCTCGGTACTTACTGTATTAACACACAAAGTCCAACCTTATAATTCTGGATCCTCTGTTTAGTGATCATGCATTTCCAAAGTCATCATTTCCAAAATCATTAAACAATTATTAAAAACCAACCGGAGCTTTCTTAATTAAATAATAATAAATTAATAACTTCAAGTTTCAAGTGTTGCTTCTTATCCTGACAAAATACTTGTGACTCCAAAGCAACATCAGCTTTCATCATGTTTGAATATGAGTCGCCTCATTTTTTTACTTCAACTGTTTTATATCCTTTATGCAAATATAGTATGTGCAGACAGTATGACGTCTTACCCACATAGTCCATATCTTAGCTGATGCTCCAAAAGCTTTTAAGGATCAAACCATGGAACTGAACAACACACGCTCTGTGCGGAGCTCAAATTGAGCTCATAAATTTCAGATTCAGGCTTGTTCAATCTGTTTTGTTTTAATTGGGGTGCTTGAGCTCATTTATTAGGATTTAAGTCCGGTAAAAATAAATAAATAAATAAATGAATAACAAATATTGCAACAAAGAGTGAAGTTAAGTATGAAAAATGAATAAATGCTGAAGTACAAAGAATTGGAAAAAATGTATGTATTTTAAATGCTGACATTGATTTTTTGTGGAATTTCGCTAATGTGGGCTTAAAAAATGTGCCATAAAATTGAATTCCTTATGCAGTGGTTATAAATTATAAACTGATGATGAGATTTCTCAATAGGTGGTGTTGGCGTTGCTGTTTGAGCTCATACTGCATGGCAATATTAAAAATTTTCGCAGTACAAACGCTGGTCCATAAGAGTTTAAGTTGTTGAAATAAGAAAGCAAATTCATCTTTATAAATGCCTTCAATTAATACACGAGTCATCTGAATCACTATGAGACCAACACAGAAATACTGCCTTGCAGTAAGGCGGAGATGCGCAAATACATAATTGTTGGGATAAACTTCTGCTCAAAATGCCCAAGCAATCTACTATAAGGCAACATCACTTCTAGTTCAGTCAACGCTGTTTCGAGCCCTAAGTTTTATTTGCACGAAGTGAAGATTTGACAACATTTAATGTAATAATTTTTTTTAATTATAATTTAGTTGAAAATATGCAAAAATTTGTGTCCGTCGCCTAAGACAGTCCAATTAAAATTGTTCACACGTTTGCTTTAATAATCATTAAATCAAAGAGTGGCAAGTGGCTAGGTTTACACCATCACATTTGCTTCTCCATTTCCCCGGTTGGATTGGATTGTTGGTTGTCATTGGATGGAATTTTCAAAGTAATTTCTTCTCGGAATTAATTGCAGACAAGTGACGGTATGAGCTATGAAAATATAATTATTATTAGTTGTCTCCTTATTTTATATTTCTGTGTCTTCTGCTGCTAGCAGGAAAATAAATATTTACTTTTAGACAAGATACGACACTGAATGCCATCTACGGAAATACAATCGCAATATCGATTGAACTGAAATTGTGTTTAGTGCTCAAGAGAAAAAAACATGATCTTCAGCCCGTATCCAATAGAAAAGTTTCCTTTGCTATATAGTTTTCACATTAAACCTATTACATAGATTAAGGGCTCACAATCGAAGTAACTTAAGGTCGAAGTAAATATGTCATAGATAGACTTTACTGTGACTTGAATATCCTGTCTTGTCTCTGTCATCTTGCGACTGCACATGTTTTAACATGTTTTTTTAATAATGTCTTTTATAATAGGATATACCAATGCCATAAAATATTAACCAGAAACCTATGTTTCTTTTAAGTCGGTTTTCTCCACAACGAAGTCGTTGGACGCCACCAAACTTTTCATTATTGAACATTTAAAATTTTTTTACCTTCATATAGTATTAAAATTATATTTAATTCAAAATTATTCACATTAAGAAACCAATATCGGCTTGAAACATATTTTTGGTATCTGGTCAACACCTTCCCCAAAAATGACATTTCCTATAATGTAATTCTTCTAAAACTATCTTACCAAAATTACTTATTGTAAAGTTAGTGAATTCCAATAGGTCCGTAAATTTTTCTGGTTTTCTTTGACAAGTGGTCCAGAAATGAGAAAATTTCTGTGTTCTGCAGCTGTTATCCACTTAAACGTAGTATCTTCAATATCTGTTTAATGAGTTTATATCACTACTAATTTTTATATTCTTGATATAAATTGTATTACTTTATACTTTTATATTCTAAAGGTGTCCAACCATGCATTACTTATTGTAAAGTTAGTACTTACACTTAAACGTAGTATCTTCAATATCTGTCTTATCAGTTTATATCACTAATAATTTTTGTATTCTTGATGGTATGTTAATCTAGAATTTGATTTTTTTTAATTAGTTGTTTATTACCTATACATGATCGGTAGTTATTATAGGTATATGTATGATATATTATTTCTATTACAAAAGCGTTCTGACGTTTCAATCTATGTTCAAGTCAATATTATATTTTTTATATATTAACATTGTTATAAATATTCCTGTAACGTACATATTTCGCGAAGATAATAATTGATTTCTAATACAAATCAACACCCTAGAGATTATAGTAAATAAAGCGCACATAAGACTTTTCACTATGTTTGTAATTATTCATGTTTTAATTAATATGAAAAGATAAATCGTGTATTTATATCTATCCATATGTCATCTAGAGGTTGTTTTAGAGGTATCTTAGTTATTAAGTGATTGACTATTACCAGTAGCATCCATTCTACATTAGTCGTCGGAAATGAGCTTATAATTTTAAATATGTAAGTGTGATATAAATCTAAATCAAAAAAAATTGAATCAGTAATTTTAAATAATAAATATCTCTCATATTACTAAAAACTATATTAATATAATAGTTGTTGTCATTGCTGTGGTTTGAGTTAGTGCTATTGCACACTTTTACTCTTTTATGGTTGGGTTTATGGTTTATGGCTTATTCCTGCCCCACACTAAGCTTTAACTATAGTAGAATTATTATCATTTATTTATCTTTTAACTGATGACGGACCGTAGATCAGGATATCTTCATGTGCGTACTAGGGTGGACTTAAGGTTTGTTGGGGCGGGGTTGGGCAGAGTCTCGACTTTAAAATTTTACGTATACAAGAGAACTTGTATTTATCAATAAATATATCGTAAATAGCCATGATATTTTAATTTTTAAAAAATCTTTATTATAATCTCATATTATCCGAAACTGAATATTTTGAAATTATTTTTTTTTTTGACTAACAAAATTTAATTTTGATCCGAACTCTTATCAAAAATATTGCAAAACTTTTCCAAAATGTTACCTTCTCGTAACCTTCCCAGCGATGTGAAAACTGAGTTGAACAGCATTGCGAAGAAGCTCGTCGCCAATGGAAAGGGTATTTTAGCAGCCGATGAATCAGTTGGAAATGTAGGCAAACATTTCTCTGAAATCGGCGTAGAGAACACAACGGAAAACCGTCGCTTATACCGACAACTATTAGTGACTACTGCTCCCGATATTGCGCCATATATATCTGGTGTAATTCTGTTTGAGGAAACTTTATACCAGAAAACAGACAACGATGTACTGTTTGTTAATGTACTGCGTGATAATGGAATTATAGCTGGTATTAAAGTAGATAAGGGGCTATCGCCGTTAGACGGTACAGAAAATGAAACGACAACCTTAGGCTTAGATGACTTAGATGAGCGCTGTTCAAAATACAAAAGGGATGGTGCAGATTTTGCTAAATGGCGTTGTACACTTAGGATTAGTGACAAAACTCCAACACGTAAGGCACTACTGGAAAATGCAAATGTGTTAGCGCGTTATGCTGATATTTGCCAACAAAATCGCATCGTGCCAATTGTTGAACCAGAAGTGCTTACAGAGGGTGACCATAATTTGGAACGTTCACGAACAGTTGCCGAAAATGTTCTGAATCATGTGTTTGCTGCTTTGTCTGACTTTGGCGTATACTTACCAGGCATTTTGCTGAAAACTCAAATGGTTCTGCCGGGTAATACGTGCCCATTCAAATTTACAACAGAAGATATAGCTGCAGCTACAACAGAAGCTTTGTCTAGCCGAGTGCCAGCAGCTGTACCTGGAGTTGTGTTTCTATCTGGTGGTCAATCAGAAGAAGATGCGACTGTTAACTTAAACTCCATTAACGCGCTTCAAAGCTGCCATTGTAAGCCAACTGCTGATCACGAGAGATGTAAATGTGATAACACACCAGCATTTCCCTGGAAATTAACATTTTCGTTTGGACGCGCATTGCAAGCATCTGTTTTGCGTGCGTGGAGTGGTAAGAAGGAATCGGTTGAATTGGCAAAAGGAGAACTGCTAAAGCGCTGTAGAGCCAACAGCTTAGCAACTCAAGGGGACTATGAACCTGGATCAATCCCAACTTTTGCTGGCAACGTTAATTTATACACTGCAAATCACAACTATTAAACCGAGTTATTCCCAGAAATTTCTTCACAATACATCTACAGGTTACTGTAATAAAAAAGTTAAGTTTTGCAATAAAGTAGTTCGGAAAAAAATTTTTTTTTTCTATTTGCACCGCTAAAGAAATTAGTTAGCCCATTAGTAAATAATTTTTTTATTATTTTAATTCTACTGCCTGCGCACGCTCATCTGCATCGGTGTCAAGATTGCCGTTTAATTTTATTGCGATTTCTTCCGTTTGCCATCCATCATTAGATGTGAGCCAGAACACCATGCCTAATAGTCTCACCGCTGACAAGGCGTGACGAGAGTTGAGAACAAGGGATGAGAGGTGCAATGCTTTGCCACTTATGGCAATGGAAAATAAAATGAAATTAAACTCATATAAACATAAATTTATAAACGCGCTATGTGCACTGTTGCAACCGATCTTGCATAGCAGCGCGATCAGGATCATTACTTGTCGTAGTTGTGATAGCGTTCGTTGTAATTGTTGCAGATTTAAGTGTTGCGCTTACACTGCACTCATAACTGCAGTATCATGCAATCCGGAGAATGTCATTCAAATGGAACACCAGCCAAGAATTGCACAGATAAATCATTCTGAGTGCTCGTTAGTTGGTTTTAACCTTTGCTTGATTACTTACGGGTACGGAGTACTTAGCAGGAGTTTGTGTGCGCATTCCGTTCCATGCTGCAGGCTGAATAGGAACTGGTGAGGCACGTTGCAGATATATTTGCAATGCAGCAGCGCAGTTTTAAAATTGATGAAATAGATCACTTATATTATTTACGGTATTTAAATTAAGAGTTTAAGCGTACTTTTTGTTGCTGTCGAAATCATTACCACGTAAAGAGATGTAATGATGCAGTCAGTGTATACTTCGATTACAGGGTGCCAGGATGTTCATTTATTAATTCGATCTGATGACTTTAAATTATGATATGTAAAGTAGAGTAATAGATTTGTATGTTAATTATTTTAGCTATCAATGAATTTAAATTTTGCGCCAAATTATTATAGTCACTAGTTCTGACTACAATCTCAGCAATAAACAATTCACTCACCAAAGTTTTTCGACAATAAACTACAGAAGTTCTACACCAATCGAACTTTGCAATTATTCAAAAACTAATAAGAGAGTATGAATAATAATGGACAAAGTACAGGTATACTTAATGAAAAATGAGTGTTAATGAAGACAATTTTTGTTCTAAAATGTACCAAAAAACCACAGATACTATTCTGCACTTTAAACAATTGTGATAGTATATATAGCAATTAGTCAATAAGATGGGTGGGACCCTGTTGTACCTCCAGTTATGAAAGAGTAAAAGTGCCCAGTTGTGGTGACTCGAAAAAAGGATCAACATACATCAACATACATATATAGCATTTACAATTATATTTAATATTATATTATATATAATTAATTATATATATTAATATTATATATATTATATTATATATACAATTATAGTGTATAGTACAGCCCCGTTAATAAGATGACTTGATTTTTTTCAAAAAACGCTTTGTGTTTTGGTAGTCGAAGTCGAATTCGAAGTCAACCCAAAAACCTGATTTTCAACTTCAGTGATTTTGACTTCGGCGTTATTATGCCCGTTAATGAGACCATAGATAACAAATAAACTGTCAACTTACACCATTTTAAAGTCGTGAACCCTTCCAAATTGAGTTAGTAAAACAACAAACAAACAAACAAACAAACACAACAATAACATCAACACCACACAGCCATTGAACTAAGCATAAATAAAAACAACAACGCAACCCCTCATCTAACCGCTTTAGAGATATGAGATACTGGTATGAGCAACAACAAAAGAAGAATAGAAGAATAACAATCTGAACTAAATAACCACTACAACAACACTAACAACACTTAACTTTAATATTGCCCATTAACAACAACAGTAGCAACAACAACAATATGAATCACTGAGATATCACTAAGATATTGCGTTGCCCATGCCAGCCCGAAAAGAGGTTAGGTTTGGTAAAATGTGCGAAATATCACAACTTGGCACTCGCAGACCATCGACGAGACAGCAGAGGGCGAGATAATCAGCCAACGAATATGTGTAAGCGTAACGAGCAGTTACGAGAGATTGGCAACCCCTTTTCATCTCATATCAAATAGAGGTAGAGGAGTAGAACGAACGATTCATAAAATTGTTACGCCAAATAAATTAAAAATTTTGAAGTATTTGGCGTGAAATTGAGATTTTAAACTTTTTAGTTTTTATTTTGAAATTTAGAATTTCGAATCGGATGTATGCGATGAAGGATTCTGCCTTATTTATGTAAGTTCACGATATTGAAACTTTAAGTTTCCCATTGTTTATACGCGTATGTCGTATGTATTAGTTGAGAGTAGAATATAATTTTATAATATTTACATTGGAATGTTATTCAAATACCGGAAAAAAATATTCAAAGTCTATGTTTTGCAATACCCACGGGTATATTAAGTATCACTAAAATGTATGATAAGATAAGAAAAAAATTTAACGGGGTAACCGGCTCCGAACGGGATGGAGCACCGCGACGATAGTTGAGCTTCTGTGCTGCTACAGACCCTAGCCGAACAGAAGACATTCCATCCTTCGAATAAAAGCCAAAATGTTAGCCGTTGATCAATAAAATGATAGCTCATTTTCACCGATTTCAGAATTTTCTTCTTAAATCTCTTAAGGTGTAGGATAGACAACTTTCTTGAAGATACTAATATCGTTTCAACTGATATCAACTGAAAATAGTTATATCTTTATTTCTGAAGACTGCATTAAAAACAAATTTTATTTTCTTCTTTTCACTTGGTTGCGAATCCATGTGTTTGAGGATATACGTAATATGTTAAGTTTTAAGTTTGGTTTTAAAATACAAAGCTAAGCAGATGAAGTGAAGATAAAAGCACAAAGTTATTAAGAGTATTCTTCTTCTTTGTACCCGAAATTTTCTAAATAATTTCTAATGTCAATTGCTCATGTCAATTGCTGTCATTATCACGAAATATTGAGTTTCAATTACTGTCTGAATCATGGGCAGACGTTAAAGACTAAAATGTATCCAAACAGCTTTTCATCAAGAAAACACTAATAAAACCCTCACAGTCTTCGGAACTCAAATTCAATATTTCTGGGGTTATAACATATTAGAGTTAATTTTTTTTTTTTATGTAACAAGTACTGTTTTTGTGTCATCCTGAGTAGTGTTTATACTGCAAACAGTATGATAGATGGATCATATATAAGCTATAAATGTTGTAAAAGTAAAATATCATAGTGAATATTGTTGAGTACATTTAACCTATTTGTTACAGAGCAGAGCTAGGCATTTACCAATTTATTTTGTACCAAAACACAATTGAACTTTGAGGTCTCTGATTTCGAAATGTTACCTCAAATGCACGCTACTCATGTCGAACGATAGGCAACAATAATCAGCTGTATTGATTTGACTTTAATCGAATGAACTTGTATTAGCGGATAGCCAGCCATATTATCGAATACAGACACAAATATGCATTCTTAAAAGTATTACATGTGTTATATAGTATATATCTATATTATTACTGTATCACCTTCATTGATTATATGTAGTTATATATATGCAAAACTGCTGTGAATTCCCTTTAATAGAGTTAAAAGGATTTTTATTGATGTTTTGGGAAGTTATGCGCTTCTTTGTTCTACAACTGCTACTACTCACACTTTGGGATTACGATTCTTCCGCGAGCGAAGTAGGCGTTCTTAACGTTTGAAGATTTTGTTTACGCGGTGTTTTTGGTTTCTGTTTTCTTCTGTTTTCTTCTGCTTTTTCCTAATTCATTTGTTTCGACTGCGAGTCATTAATATTGATCCAGCGATCAATTCTGCGGCTTATTAAGTGTTACACCGAAACGTTTATGTAGACACGAAAAAGTGTGACATGCGAGAATTTGCCGTAAATCAACCTGTTACCTCCTCAAATAAGCGATGATCATGTTTCGGGTACATTCTTTTGGCCCAAAAAAAAAGTTTTAATACTGAAACAAAACACAAAGAAAAAAAATGGGAAAAAAAGGTTTGACTGGAATAAAGTCGAAACAATAATTAAGAAAGAGGTTAATCGATTTTAAATCGGTTTCGATGGCATTTTGATCGCTGTTACGCACAGACACGGGTTAATACATAAATCACCTTTCACAGATACTTTTGTGTATGCAGATAGATACACTTGTAGTTCTCCGTTGAATAAATAATTTAAATATTATCTTTTCGATACGTAAATAAACAAATAACGCATCAGATCATTTTCGAGTGTTAAAACATTTTATTTTCCTTAACTTTAGTGTATCAATCCATTCGTACCTTGGTGCTTTCGGATGGTTGACGGTTGAGAGAAATCTACATACATTGTGACCGAAAAGTTTCCGGAAAATTTTAAATAAAACGCAAAATTCTTAATCTTCATCAATATTTATTTTATCTCCTTCAAAATATGCTCCATTAGAAGCGATACACAAATGCCAACGTTTCTTCCAATCATCAAAACATTTTTTATTAGGCGCTTTCCGGTATGGCTTTGAGTTCCCTCTGCGAATTCTGTTTTACGTCTTCTATGGATTCAAAACGCGTTCCTCTGAGTGGTAATTTGAGGTTGGGAAACAGGAAAAAGTCACACGGTGCAAGATCAGGTGAATACGGTGGCTGTTCGATGGTATTTATTGAATGTTTGGCCTTAAAATCGTTGATAATGTTGAACAAATTGAGGTGAATCGGAACAAGCCGGGCGTTGACACGTCGCATACACAAATTGTCCACCAAAATCAAACGAGCCATCTCACGACCGATGCCTAGCTCTCGTGCTATCTCTCTAACACTCACATGAGGATTTTTGAACACGATTTCCTTTGCCTTTTCAATGTTTTCGTCGGTGGTAGAGGTCGAAGGTCGTCCAGAACGCGGCATGTCTTCGACGGTCGTACGACAGTCCTGAAAGGCTTTGTACCACTCATAAACTTGAGTTTTCGATAAAACTGATTCCCCATAAGCCTTTTGTAGCATTCGCAACGATTCTGCA